GATCCAATTCACAATAGTGAGCATGGGTTCGATCCCCATCCCTGGCAGTTTTTTTTGTCATTATTTATATGTATATACATGATCAGTTTGGCTAATTTAAGGTCTTGAGTAGATTTTTTTCAATGCCGATCTCAGTTTTGGTAGATTTCTACAATGATGATAATAAACTATCCATCTTTCACAATATTTTAAAATTCATGTTGTGCTGTTCATAAATTAGGCTCGGCTGTACGAATGAGATATGCATCGTTCATATATACATACATATATGTAGATATCAGTAACTATACGCACGAATCAAAATTTATCAATATTTGAACATTGATTGTAGTTGTCTAGAAAAGGAATGTTCTCATTTATGAACAAATATGAGACACAAATTCGTTAAGGTAAAATAGTTGTAGCTCAAATTTTGAATATCGTATGAATCATCGTGTATTTTCACCTTTTTTATTTTTCTATATCATTAGAAAATTTCGATCAGAAACAAGAATGACTTGGACTATAACACTTTATACTAATTAAAATATGATAGACACTTAGTGAAAGAATTTGCAAACAATGAAAAATCTCAAGAAATCTCAAATCATATTCTATACGATACATTTGGAGTACAAAAGTCGTTTGTTTTTTAATTTCCTTATTCTTGAATGGTAAAAGAAAGTACAGAAATGCAGCAAAATACATAGAGCTAGCTCTTGGAACAATAGTCTATTTCATATATTTTAACGTTTTAATATAAACCAATACAATAAGAACCATTGAAAAGTTTGTTGTTTTATCGTTTCTTACAAAAATAAAGAATAGTTCAGATAATGAAAATTGTCAGATATTACAATCATTGATATATTCAACCATCATTAAGGAGTCACGTAACTTTCAAGAATGTGAAAAATATATGTTACTATTGTATTAGAGTACCTTTCTATCTGTATTTATTTTAACCAGTGTGACTGATGAAAAGTTGTCTTGTAAGCTCAACAAAAATATTTCTAGCTATCAATAGATGTGCCACAATTATTCACACGAAAGAAGGCATTGTATCTTGAAATTATAAAACCGCAACCATATGATCTGTCAATATGTATTCCAGAGGAAATATAATTCCAAACATATCATTATACTGGTGTAGATAAGTTTAGAACAGTTGTATTTTTAAGTTTTCTTCTTGATGATTATAGCTAACAAGAATCTAAAAAAAAAACATTTGCATACTTGAAAGAATTCTCCACTAGGATAAGTAAGTTCAAATGCTTCAGCAAAATTGTTTGAATGAAAGTTTGCAGAAAACCACCAATTCCAACATCAACTTTCTGGTTTTTATTCGAAGCTCTTTAAGAAAAAACTTTATTTAATAGAGCAAATAATTTTGAGCAAAACGATGTATCTCTGATCTTTCCATGACGTTTCTTCATTGAATTGCGCGCAGTTTACAGGAGATCCAAGAAGCATTTTTCTCTTCTTGTTATTGAAAGTTTAAAAGTTTTTGCTGTCTTTAACGCTTGAAGAGCTTCTCTATAAATTAAATGCAATTTGATGAAGAAAGGCCATGAAGAGATTGAAGACGTCTTATCTTGTTCAAAATTATTCGCTCTATCAAATAAAATCTTTTCCTTAAAGGCTTCGAATAAAAGGCAGAAAGCTGATTTTATTAGTCTTAGTTTTTTGCAGACTCTCATCAAAGCAGTTTTACTGAAGTGTTCGAGCCTGTCAATTCTAATCGAGAATCCTTTTCACAAATACAAATGTTTTGTTAGATTCTTGTTAACTATTATCATCGAGAAGAAAACTTAAAAATTCAGCTGCTCTAAACTAAATTTGTGCCACTATTAATTGAAGGTAAAACAACAGATTGTCCTATGATTTTACTTATCTTTCGATTTCATTTCAAGAATAATCTATGCAAAATATTTTAATCAATTCAAAAGAACGGCTAAAGAGTATCTATAAGATTTGAAAAACCATCAATCAAAAAGGCGAATTATCCGTACTATATTAACGATAACTTACACAATAAAGAATTTATTTAACTTAGTAAAAATCATCATATAAAAGCTCTAGTTTATTGTGGTAGATTTTTTTTTGTATAAAAAAAAAGCTTCAATCATATTGTAAGTAACATAATCGATAGCTAGTTAGTATATACTTGAACTATGTATAAAGAAAACCGTTTTTTTTTTTCATATCACATAATAACGTTAACAACAGAAGATATAGAAACAACAAGAAGAAACATTACGTTAGAAAACGAAACAAAGTTTTAATCAGTAGTCGCCTTCTGTTGTCGTACATTTAATACTCTTTTATGAATCATATTTTTTGAATTCCATACCCTAAAGAAGAAAGAAATCAAGGTTGTTTATTTTTGAAAATATTTTGAATTAATATCAACTTACATCAGGTGGTTCACAGGTAACTTTACCTTTGGATACTTCTTCCCAATTCATGTTTAAACAAGTACCACCAGATTCGTACTATAAAATGAATTTATTTTCTAATATTTAATTGCTAAAAATCAAGATATTAATTCCTACCATTGATTTATTCATGGCTCGACGAGTATTCTCATCACTATCACGATAAAGTTGTTGAAATATTCTAAAAAGATAAAAATACAACTAATAAAGAACATTCACAAAGAAATCAAGACAACATACGCATTGGCGTCACCCGTATCTTCTTTATTATCTTTTTCATCTTTCTTAATTTGTGCTTCAATTTGATCCCAATTTTTAGCTCGTTGACTTGATGATGGATAACTTGGAGCTTTATCTGTTACTGGTCGGCTCATTGGAACTACAGAAGAAAAAAAAAATAGTAAGACATATTTCCAACATCAAAATCAATTATCTTACCCGGTGGTTGTGTTTTGCCAGCTAATGATTGTGCATCTAATGAAGTCCATTGAATAGCCTGTCGTTTATACAATTTTATTTCAATCTAAATTGAATATAGAAAAGAAAAACAAAGAATCAGATTTTCTATATACAATATAATATGAATATTGATCTTACATTTGAACCTGTTACATTGAAACTTGTACGTGATGAATCAATAGGATAGGCAAGATCGATTTCAAGTGAATAATCATTTCCTGTTGCAGGAATTTTTGTTTTAACACTTAACTTAAATGATAAATAGAAATTTAAACATATTAGCAAGTCAAAAATGATCAAAATTAGTGTCTTGCACGGGTACGACTTTTCGCCACCGGACTCGGCCCAGAGCTAATCGACATTCGGCAAATACTTTTACAGTCATAGTATGACTTTCAAACTTTTGTTCTATACCAGAAAGTATACTATTTAATTTCTTCCTTAAACGGAAACAAAGAAAGAGATCATTTCTCAAAGTGTACAAAAAAAGCAAATGAATCAAGTGATTCAGGATTTATTTGGTGTGTTGCTGCTTCAAAAGTCTGATCAATTTCGCTAAGTATATGTTTGCTTGTTACTAATGACATTGGAATGAAGCGCAACGTTGGTGCTAAACGTCATAACTGTGAATCTATACCTAAGTGCTTGTTCATCATGAGAATACATGTTCACCTTTTAGATAATTCATTCTTTTCTCTGTAGATCCAGCTACTTCGTCATATGGCTCATCATCATGTTTAGATGAATTTTCATTAAAAGCAAAATCTTTCAGCAAAACAAAATTGCTCGTCAGTTCTATGACCAATCTTCAAATACAATAAAAATTGCTCAAGTTTTCACTTTTGTTTTCATTTAAATAGATCGTGCACCAAAGTAAAGATATTTTAAAATATCGAGCTTTCATTAATTGTCTGATCAAATCAGAATATGAAATTATACTGGGGACCCGAATTGACCCAGTTGCAGGTCACTAAATAAAATACGTACAGTTGTATCTGTAGTTTGAACTTGAACTTCCTCTTTTTTCAGACCTTTAATTGGTATTTGCATAGTCAGAACACTGTCTGTTTGATAGAATGAATGTCTATTAAAAATGATTTATAATTATTAATAAAGCAAAAGAAAACGAAAAAGAGATTTAAATATACTTAATTTTAGCTGGTGGTGGTGGTGGAACAGAAGCAGCTGTGGCTGCTGGTTTTTCTTTTTCAGTGTTAGCTGCAGCAGTTTGTTTTTTACCTAAATTAAAATTAAATTATCACGTTCACCAAAAATAAGACATTCTTACTTTCGACTTCTTTTTCACATTTTTCTTTCCATACTTTTAATTGTTCATCAGCAGCTAAAACCAAAAAGACAAAATAAATGAATACATTCAACAAAATATAATAAGCTTACAATCAATTTCAAGACCACGAACAAACGTGTTCAATGCTTGTTCTTTTAAATCTTGATTATATAATGCTGTACCTTTACGAAGATATGCCTTAATATTTTTCTCATCTAATTCAATAGCAGTATTGCTGTCATTTAATGCATCTAATAGGAATAAAATGATATTCAACATATCTAACAAATATATATATATATCTTTACCAGCATATTTTTTTAATTTTAGTGCACATTGAGCGCGCGCTGCTAAGACTTTAGAAGTAAAATGACCATCACTTTTATCATCATCAGTAAGAGCTTTAGTATACAGCTATAACAAAAAAAAAATGTTTTTTTTTTATAATCTCTAATGCACAAACAAATATTCTTCAAAGGACGAACTTTATACGCTTCTTCATATTTATCATCAACAAAAGCTTCATTTGCTTCTTCAAATACTTGTTTGGACATGATTACGAATTAAAAGTCTATATGACGAACGAAAGAAGTAAATGAATAGTGAAATTAACGAAATACTACGGGAAAAAAGGAAGAATATAAAAGATCGAATACCATTCGTCAACGTGTTGCTCTTTCTTTTCAGCTGCTGCAAATATGTAAGATGACGCAAGATGTCGGTTAAATAATTCGTCAAGTCAAGGTTACATTATCAAAAGACAATATTTATATCAAATGAAAACTAATAATATTATCTTTCGAAATATCAATTTAGAAAATAATGAAGTGATCTATTCGAAAAAGTAACTAATTTATGCATAATAGAATATATTTCACTAAATCGTTACTTTGTTATTATTACTTGTATCAAATAGATGTCAAAGTAAATGGAAGAAACAAATATAAATTCTTAACATGATTATTAGATTAGTTTCGTATAGGTTTAAATTAAGAAGTCATATGAGTGTTGTAACCCGACGGGAGCTAGGCAAGGCTTAGCCCTTAATGCCAATGACTAAGTTTCGCTTAAAAAAGAACTTGAGCATCCATCCATACAGCTCTTCCTGATTACGCCACTAACTCTTATGTTGATTTAATTTATTAATATCAATATTAATAGTAGATATTAATGTTATATCTGAGTTAATCGAATCCTCCGAAACTGGTATGATAGTATTCAAAGATATCCATGACAATTTTAAAATTGTTCTCAGTCAAAAATTAATTAGGATGATATTTCTTAGTCTTTTTTTCGCATCTATATCTAGTCAGACAAACAATGAGTTGAATTTCTCAAACGCACTCTCATATTTGTTCGAAGTCTTTAGCTAACAATGCAAGAGTTTGTACTGATGAGCTCAGATGTTGACCATGTTCGGGTCAAACGATCGCTTTCACCGAGAAACTAACTAATTTAAAATATGAGCTACTCTTGGCGTACCTGGACAGAGATCCTTGAATTTCAAAATATGTGAAATTTAGGTTTAAAAATGAATCAGAAAACGTTTACTCCACTATTGTAAGGACAAAACATAGTATTGCTGAGGCCGATTAATGGTTTTGAGGAGCCCCCTTTCATATGGCCCGAACAACACTATGTTTTGTCCTTACCATAGTGAATTAAACCTTTTCTGATTCATTTTTAAACCTAAATTTCACATATCTTGAAATTCAAGGATCTCTGTCCAGGTACGTCAAGGATAGCTCATATTTTAAATTAGTTAGTTTCTCGGTGAAAGCGATCGTTTGACCCGAATATGGTCAACCTCTGAGCTCATCAGCACAAACTCTTTCATTGTAAGAAGAAAATTTTAGAAAAAAATGTATATTCCGTAAATTTAAGTTATACAAATCAATCAAAAAGATACTGTTGATGGTTCATTTTCAGTCAATTAACAGTAAAGATATGTACCAGTAAACTTTGCGTATTTAACTATTTGATGGTTTGTAAAAATCGAACTCATATTCTATACGTATGGTAAAGGACGAGTGTTTGGTCTGTTAACAGTATGTTACAGCCATTGGAATACATCGTCAACATATCTGTAATCAAGCCATATTTATACCGTAAATGATCCTAATCGTATTCTAAATCAGAACTTACCGAGGAGTGTTTTCTTTGCATTCAATGAAATTCGTTTAAATGCTTTCACTTTCATGGTTTTTTTTGTTCTATGTTGAATCGTATACAGCTATTTACATACTGTATGGTAGGATTCAAATTTTTAACAACAAGTTTCGAGATCAAAACTCAAAGCTTTTTTATCTAGAGGAGTAGTACTTAGAAAAAAAGCTCTACTGTCATATTTAGCACTAACCTATTACGAAGAAATAAAGAATAAAGAATTACTGCAGTGCATAATCATTAATTTAGCATATTTGTATGATATTGTATAGTTAAATGGCAGATACAACGAACATTTATATTGTATCGTGAAAAAGCCTCATCATAGACTCTCAGATGCTACAGAGTGTACGACCGATTACATTGTATATTGCTTTATCTCAAAGCTTATAGACAGGTTAGTGAAAAGACTTTATGAAACAGTATAAAAATGAAGTATGAATAGTCTCAACTTACGATATTCTTTATGCGGGTTAGTAAGCAGTTCGTAACTCACATGCAATTATGCCGTAAAATGGCATGTATAAAAGAAATTTTACAAATCACCATAAAGATATCGTATTTTATCCGTTTATAGACAGTTTTTTTCAATCCAGGTACTTGAATATAACTCGAAAAACTTTTTAGTTATTTCTATTCAATAATCATTCTACATCAATTGCACAAAAGTTAGATCAAATTCTTTATGACACTATTTTGTACGTAGTGAAACAGAGTAGTGTAAGAACAAATAACAGCTAAATCATTCGATTTACGTCTTAATTAATCTTTAAATTAAGAAATATTCATTTTTTTTCTTTAAATTTTTATTCAATTTAAAACAAAAACTAACATAGAAAAGCACTCAAACTTGTACAACAAGAACAAATTCTAAGTATTCCAATATTCTCATATCTGTTTTTGTTTACTGAAATTGATAAACATATAGAATGATCAACAGCTATGAGCTACTGTCAATTAGTTTTCCATAATATCTTCTAGTATATAAACAAATGATATCTCTTTTATTTCCTCAACAGTGAAAACAAAGAGAAAAGAACGACATAGCACCATTGATATGTCTTAGCTAGCTACAAACTACAATAAACATCTAGTACTTTAGCTAAGAATATTCATATATCAATTATCTTAATCTTTAACTCATGAAAAAAACAAGAAAGCTTAATACGTTGTATCAATATCATGTATTGAAAGAATGAAATGATAACAGAAATGAATAAAGAAAAAACAAGAAGAAGAAATTAATATGAATGTGGGGAAAAAAGAATGGAATGAAATGAATTACATAATAAGCAACCGAACAAAACAAATATAGAAAAGTAAACAGAAAAAATAAACAGATCGCTATAGCAAAAAACTCGAAGAAATCAAAACTTAAGAAAAAAAACGTTTAGATATGTTCATATTTCATGATCTCATCAAAATCACCATTTGTGAACAAAAAAAGATTATTTGCTCGAACTAATCATGTCACGATTTGGAAAGTGTTTCTTATAGTATATTGAATAACTCAAGAAAACAAAGAGCTCGCTATTAATCCAGATCAAAAAATTAAGAAATTCGTAAAAATTTGCGTTGCTAGCCAAATTTCGTGTTTAAATGAATAAGGATTTTAAACACAGCAAAACTACAAAACTAGTAAAAATAACTATAATAACTAATCCAAACATGTAAATTTTGCAAGAATAGACACATTTTAATGAAATTTGAATGTATTTTCCTAAGCTAGTATCGTGTGCCTATCTGTGTACTTAGTTATTGGAACTAGATCAAATTAATGCGGAGTTTTTATCTGAACATTTCGTGGTTATTGGCAAAATATTGAGAAGAATTCTGAGTTGAATTTGAGATGTTTTTGTTTTCGTTCAGTATTTTTATTCATCACGTATTTTATTATTGATGGAACAAAAATTAGGGTGATACATATATCTCTAAGACGTAGAGAAGTGTGAGTTATTCCAGAACTAGAGTCGAGCGTAAAGTTTAATTTATTGTCGATTCCTTGTCTCTTAGCAAGAGTGTGGACTCAAAGTTCTTGAGAGACGTGATGACAAAAATGGCGACATATTGTGTAGATGTATTCCAAAGTTTCGAATTCTATCTGTAATAAAGATGCAGTGGAACATGAAAGAATGAGACAGACTAAAAATAAATTTTAGAGGGCAGAAAAAAAGTTATATTCATAGTAGTTGTTTTTTTGATAGATGGAGATAGTTATCGGGTATTTGATTTATCAGTTGTGGAACAATTTTTGTCTAATTGAATATAATTTATAAAATTTTTTATGAACATTAAATTGTAGTTTATATATAATATTTTCAATTAATTTATTTTTCATTCGTCAATCACTTATATCCTCATTATATGTGTTCCTGTATTGGGAGTGTTATTTATTTATTTTTTTCTTTCTTTTCATTTTAATACGGCAATAATCATTTTTTTCTCTTCAATATTTAGATTATTATATCAACAAAACTATTTTTTACGAAAAAATGTCCAGCTACGGTCGAGATTCCGGTGGTGGCAGCGATGAGTGAGATTTAATTAATAAAATTCATATTTCTTTAATATATATATGTATATATAGACATGGTGGTGGTTATTCAAATGATGATTATTCAGGACGCGGTGGTAATGATCGAAATAATTCTGATAGCAATAGGTGATTGTTTTCAAATATAAAAAAGTTGATTGAATCTATATTTGTGTATTAATATTGTTAGCGAACAAAAACGAAATTATTCCGATCATAATTCACGTGGTGGAGGAGGTGGAGGTAAGAAAATCTTTGTCGACTCTTGTATGTCGGTTTTTGAACTTCAAAAATTGACAATTCATACAGGATGATAAATGGTGGCAGCACACACTTTGTCCTCTCTGCAGGTTATGGAAGCGGAGGCGGTGGTTACAATCGTGGACGAAATGATAACGATGACAGTGGAAGTAGTGGCCACAATCGTCGAAATGATTATCACAGTAATAATAATGATAGTTATGGCGGTGGTGGTGGTGGATATAATCGCGGTCGAAATAATTATCAGACTAATAGTAGTGGCAGTGGTGGTGGTGATGATTCTCGTATGGAAACACAACGTGATACAATTTTTATTCAAAATTTACCACGAAATGTCACTGCGTCAGAACTTAAAGATGTTTTTAGTCAAATTGGAATGATTAAAGTAGAATATTGAATTTTTCTTTTCCATAGTTGTCAGTGTGTTTTTTTCTTTTCAATAGATTGATAAAAAGACAGGTACACCAAAAATTTGGATTTACAAAGATAAAGCAACCGGCGAAGGTAAAGGTGAAGCAACGATTACTTATGACGATGAAGAAGCAGCACAAGCTGCTATCAATTGGTATCATGGTAAGAATCTGTTATTATTTT